TGAACTCGGTGGCCTTGTTACATAATAATAACATTTCTACAATAAGATACAGTCAACACAGTAGCCTAGTTACATAATAATAACATTTCAACAATAAGATACAGTGAACTCGGTAGCCTTGTTACATAATAATAACATTTCTACAATAAGATACAGTCAACACAGTAGCCTAGTTACATAATAATAACATTTCTACAATAAGATACAGTCAACTCAGTAGCCTAGTTACATAATAATAACATTTCTACAATAAGATACAGTCAACTCAGTAGCCTAGTTACATAATAATAACATTTCTACAATAAGATACAGTCAACTCAATAGCCTAGTTGTAAAATATTACGAGAGGTGAATAGTTAAAGCCAAAAACTTAAAAGGAATGATAAATTATGATGATATTTGCACCTTAGAATTTTTTGCTTTACATACAATTCAGAGAAATATTATGACATTTCCTGTGTAGTTAAGTTTTACAGGGTATTACCATGCGTTATTTTCTTAGTTACTTACTTAACCTTAAGATATTATTTCTTCACAAGATTTTTACTAACAACAATGTACTATGTGGAATTAGTTCAATTTCACTTTAAACTAGCCGAGCTCCGCTATATACATTAGAAAAACAATGGCCAATATTTGTTTGAATTATAAAATATATTAGTTCTGACGTTCAAAGCCACCATTATAAGATGATGTCATCCTTCCATTCATATATCACCTTTGATTTCTAGCCATTATTCGTGAACAGTTTATATCTCTTTAATCTCCGTTATTCACTTCAAGAAAACAAATGACAGAAGACCACAGCTGTTGTTGAATTATCAATCACAAAGTCACATGATTAGACATGATCTGTATAATGTAGAACTGAGGATGGGGCAAACTGACATTATTTTATAATAGTGGCTTTGCTAACTATGTTAGTAGAAATTCATATTATTCTTTAGCTATGTTGTGTATTCCATCTAAGATGTTTGTTTGATGAGTGCTGCAAACACATATTAGGCTTAGTAATACACTATGTTAATGGGTTATGCATGCGATGCTTCCTCTTCTTAAGTCATATCTGATAATTCGCTTCACAAAAATATAAATTAATAACAATGAATCTGACATGAATTAAGAAAGAGTTAAAAATGAGAGACATCGTACAACAAAGCTGGAATAACCTGTTTCTTATGGAATGTAACGAGATTAGTGGTTAGTGTGATATTACATAACAATAAGATTGAGGATATTTTTTATCAAATCTCTTTTATTGGCCATCTATGGGTTTCCAGGAGAAGGATGATGTAAAATTTCAACCCCAAACTTTGGGTGTTTCATCCCACTCCAGCCGAGACCTTTTGATAATACCAGATCTCATCCTATCGGGTGAGTAAAGCCTCGTAATACCTTCTTTACAGTCTAGCCATGGTTCACGAAGAATGTAGAATATTAAAAAAGGTTGTGAGTAATGCCAAACTGAGACAAGGTTAAGTGATACTACTGTTACGTCTCCGTTCGTTAGTTAATTTTCCCTAAATTCGTTCCGACGAAACTTTAGCGACACAAGTCCTTTCTTGAATAAAACTGGTTTATTCTTTCTGAATAAAACTTTGCAATACACTTAATTTCCACAGTCGCGTTATAACAAACGCTATAATTCACAACGAACGTCTCACGTGCTCGACTCAACAATACTCTGTCCGCAGTTCAATTACACATTGTTCCCGTCGCTTCTTGGCCGGTCTTATATATACAAGACTACACCATATCTAGTAGTCTCCTGACGCTTCATGAACGTTCTAGAAGCGCGTGGGTAGTTACTAGCGTCACGTGACCTCAGCTGTCGTATATGTATGTTGCATAGGATGAATGGTCAGACATTTATCAGTCATGAATGATCACCAGCCAGATTTAAAACAAAAGTGAACCAAAGATAGCGATTAGGACTTTTTATATCAGTATTTAAGCCTTGTCTTGGATTGTGTACCGTAACTAAAGAGTTTGTGATACACAAGGCTTCGGTCGGAAAACTATTTATATCAGTATTTAAACCTTGTCTTGGATTGTGTACCGTAACTAAAGAGTTTGTGATACACAAGGTTTCGGTCGGAAAACTATTTATATCAGTAATTTTAGATATAGTAGTTCTTAAAGTATATATAATGCCCATGATGGCTATGTTGTTAATCCAGCTGATCCGTTGGTTTCTGGTATTGAACGAAAGGCCTCGTCGTTTGAAATGCTTTTACATTATTCTTACTGGAAACTCATATGAGGTCAGAATATGTAAAGAGATATCATTAACCTTATTAACAATCTTATGTTAATGTAATATAAGTCAAATTACAAAGACGGTTCGCCAGCGTAGGGGTTAAAACAACCACAATAAATGTCAGCATATTTCTTGATGTTTCTCTAAATTTTGCGTTCATTCCTCTAAAACTATATTCCGCACAGGTGGTTATGAATGGGAAGACGGCTCTGCTGTAGACTTTACCTATTGGGCTAAAGATGAACCCTCGAACCCAGATACACAGTTGTGTGTGGAAATGTACCAACATGACTCGAGGTGGAACGATGAAAAATGTTATTATAAAAAAAGTTATATATGCCAGGTTGAAAAAGGTACGTAATATCATAAAGATCAGGAAAAGTGTAGAGTTGAGTGAACTGTTCAGTAAAATCATAAAGAGTTATGATTTAGGAATTATTGAGTAACAGTGTAAAGATAAAGGGACTGTTGAGTGTAAAGATGGATAAACTGTTGAGTGATAGAATACAGATGGACAAACTGTTGAGTGATAGAATACAGATGGACAAACTGTTGAGTGATAGAATACAGATGGACAAACTGTTGAGTGATAGTGTAAAGATGGATAAACTGTTTAGTGATAGAATAC